CCCGGGCTCCCCAGCTCCGGCCAGGACACCCCTCCCCGGGCTCCCCAGCTCCGGCCAGGACACCCCTCCCCGGGCTCCCCAGCTCCGGCCAGGACGCCCCTCCCCGGGCTCCCCAGCTCCAGGTTCCTACATGAACACTTCGCTGCCTCCATCCAGAGAATTCTTAAGAACAACTTTCCCTGTTTCTGAGCTGGGAGACTGAGTCTTGCTGGGTGGACCAGGTCACTTATGACAAGTCTCTCTTGACGAGGTGGCTTCAAGTGACACCATGGCAGCAGTTACCAAGGGTTTTGACCTCACTTTCGGGGAGGGTTTGAGCATTGGGGTTGGCCCTGGAGAGGGGACAGCAATACACTCGGATGAAGGAGATTCATTTGGATGCGGTTTGAGGGCTGCAGCGGTCCGACTCCCTAAGGGAAGAGATTGGGCTCTTCCTCTAGTCTGCCTGTAATAAAACATCTTTTGGTAAACTTTCGCTTCTTCTAATATATGAGTTAAAATTAAGATGGCATCTCATGGATATTTTCAAATTCAACCATTTTTATTTACAAATAGAAATGGAAATAAGAAAAATCCATGGCTGGGCAGTGGTGGCGCACGCCTTTAATCCCAGCACTTGGGAGGCAGAGGCAGGCGGATCTCTGTGAGTTCGAGGCCAGCCTAGTCTACAAAGCAAGTTCCAAGAAAGGCACCAAAGCTACACAGAGAAACCCTGTCTCGAAAAACAATAATGGTTTAATTACTGAAAACAAAGACTTTTAATATTTTCCTACTCTCTTTCCTCAGCATAGAAGTTCCAAATCAGTAAGTCTGTTACAATGCTTACACTCCCCCCAACACACACATAGGGTGTTACTATGTATCCCTCGCTGGCCTTGAACTCTCTAAGTTGTTAAGACTGGCCTCAGACTCAGAAATCTGCCTGCTTCTGCCTTCTCAGTGTTGGGGTTAAACACCATGCCTGGCTAGAATGTTTACTTTTTTTTTTTTTTAACTTTTAGAACTGCTGTATGGGCCTGCGGAATGGCTCAGGAGCTGCTTGCTGCTAAGCCCGACAACCATGCGATCCTCTGGACTCACATGGTAGAAGTACAAGTTGTCTTCTGACCATAGCTGAGCCCTGGTATACACATTCCCCCTCCCAAACAAACAAATAAATGTAATGTGATTAAAAAAGACAGAAAGAAAAAGAAAACAAACAAACAAAAACCCACAGCTGCACTTGGGCGGCCTCTCTTGATGTGTCGCCGGGAGATTCCCATCTCAAAACCACTCAGCTTCACTCAGCCATTACTAAACAGAGAAGCCCTGTGGTTACCATGCTTTCCCTGAGACTTCACCATCTCTTGTCCTGCCATCCCAGGGCTGCAGCCTCACTGGAGGAGAGACTAAGATGGGGGAGGACCTATGCGGGGAGGACCTGTGCAGGGAGGATCTGTGCGGGGAGGACCTATGTGGGGAGGACCTATGAAGGGAAGACCTATGCAGAGAGGACCTGTGCAGGGAAGATCTATGCGGGGAGGACCTTGGCAGGGAGGATCTATGCAGGGAGGACCTGTGCGGGGAGGACCTTTGCAGGGAGGACCTGTGCAGGGAGGATCTATGCAGGGAGGACCTGTGCAGGGAGGACCTGTGCGGGGAGGATCTATTCAGGGAGGATCTATTCAGGGAGGACCTGTGCAGGGAGGATCTGTGCGGGGAGGACCTATGTGGGGAGGACCTATGCAGGGAGGACCTGTGCAGGGAGGATCTGTGCGGGGAGGACCTATGCAGGGAGGACCTATGCAGGGAGGACCTATGCAGGGAGGACCT